CTTCTACAACAAATAATAATTTTCAAAAATAGGTGTGGTGGGAGTTAATAGTTTCGATGTGAAAATAATATTAGATGGTCTTATTACCTTTTAACATCGTAGATACATCTACCTTGTTATTGAGTTTTATTTTAATTATTGATTATTAATTAATTAATTCACATCACAGACGGTGAAATGGTGGTTAAAAATTTAATCTACAGATCTGATAGATTCATAGGCACAGATCCAAAAAGTTGTAAAGGTAAAAACAGAAAATTTGCAGAGAAAATATACATATCTTATTACCATATGGACCGTTAAGAAAAAGTTATTCACACCCTAATGTCCATTGCATAAAACAAGTACAACAAACTCGTTTTTACGATTTAAAGTCAAAATTTTAATCAATCAAACAATAGATCGAAATAGTATTTACTTCATTTTTTTATGATTAATCGCTTAATCGAATAAATGAATAATTTGCCCAGGTCTAGTGTACATGGATTACCAAGGAAATTCTTTGTTAGAAGTAATATTTGAAATTTGACATTCGTAATAATTTGATACGAACTTTTAATGTAAAGTATCTTCAATTAAACTTTACATCCGGTTATACCGGAAATAGATACTAACTTTTTTATTTTAAATATGACACCCTTTATTTTATTATATAATTAAAAATCAGGTGTTTTACAATACGAACCTACACGAAAACTCCACCGTTTAGGATAATTCACTATTTTCATTTTTTTTTTTTTGATAAAGAAGGTCTCAAAGATAACTTTGTACTGTCAATAATAACACACCCTCTTTAACCAAATTTTTATCGTGAGTCAACCATTTAAAGGTTTTTGATGTCATATAACTTCTCCTTTTTGAAATTTAAACAGTATTAAAAGTTACGGTATCGATTGCTTCATGGATTTGCATCTTACACGTGAGGCACGTTGGTGTATTAAGTAGATAAATAATCTTGACGTCATAATTAAATTCATCAGATGAAAAAAACGCAATTTCCTTTAAAATTACATTAATAAGTACAATTATGATGGGCTTGTATATATCATACATACAGAGAACTGACTATAAATTGCATGACTGATAATGGAAAAAGATGTAAATCATTAAACAGAAAATTAACGATCAATTTTTTCTTAATTTGGACGATTATTGATGACTTGTATTTTAAAAAGAAAATAATAATCTCCGAACTGTGCAAAGAAAATTAAATATCACACGAAGGTGTTTAGCATGACACGAATCGTATTTAAACAGACATCTTCTTGTGCGCCTTGCCTAGTTTTCCAGTAGAATTCATCCATTATGAGGAGCGCAATTGTTAGTTTGTTTCTGGTATTTACTATTTTTACATTTAACTCATTGGGAGATGCATCCGACTATTCTAAAAGGTATGAAGCGCTAGACCTAGATTCGATTCTTTCAAACGAAAGAATCCTTAAGAACTACATTAACTGCTTCTTGGATAAAGGCCCTTGTTCACCGGAAGCTCGTGATTTTAAAAGTAAGTATTATTTTATAAAAAATAGCTAATATTTTCATAATTTCACAATTTCTTCTCGCAAAACAATTATAACTCATTTGATTTCATCATCATCATAAGTTCGTTAGTACTAAGACTGGTTGAACAAGCACCTTCACTCTTACCTGTCCTCGTCATCATCATCATCATAAGGTCGTAAGTCCTAAGATTGGTTCGACACGCATCTCCACTCTGTCCTATTCTGAACTAGTAGTCGAATTTCTTTAAAACTAGAACAACCCACATCCTTAACTATTTGCGAACAGGAATGTAATCTAGGTCTACCTCCATCCCTCATAACTTCCGTTTCTGTCTCTAATATGTCTCTGACTAGACTTTCATGCCTGAAAAGGTGTTCTACTAACCTAACCCTGCTTTCACACAGACGGTTTTCTAACGGCAACCGTGCCGTGCCGTGCCGTAATTTCATTTTGCTTTGCGTTCACACTGCACACGGTTTTTCACGGTTTAGTTTTGTTTTGATACATGACCAAAATGGACGAATGAAAAAAACGCATGTTGTTACTAATTATATGGCATAATCGCAGAAAAACACAAAAAACAAGAAGATTTTGGATTCATCCACTACTTGAAAACAGACAATTGATGGGTGAACTTGTAACATTATTTCATGAGCTACGAGAGGATAGCTCCAAATTTTTTAATTATTTTCGAATGTCCATTAGGAGTTTCGATGAATTATGCGTAAAATTGCAAGATGATTTAAAAATTAGTAATAGTCATCAAAATTAATTGACAATGATTACGCTTTATTTAATATCAAGAGGGAAATAAAAAAAAAATGAGTATCAATCAGAAAACAATCTATCAGAAATAGAAAAAGGTTTTCCTTTCTGTTATGTAACGCTTTGATACCAAAAGAAATCAAATTATTAAAGTTTTCACTGTCTAGCTTATAAGAGATAAAAGAAGATTGTAATATATATCTGTACAAAACCTTGTTTCTTCAAAAATATCCGAGAAAATTTAAATGCTCATATTCAATATATCCTTTGTATTATCTTCCCCAATGATATATTATTAAGAAAGGAGGTAAATTTTTCTTAATTATATAATCTCTACCGATGCTTGGAGTAAGATTTTTACCTTGATAAAGACACTGTTCCAAATATTTTCACAGAGAATAATAATAATAATAGAAAGACAGATACAAAAGAATTCGAGTAGAAATATTTACAAAAGGGTGTAATATAATGTTTAGTCAAATATATGTTTTAAATTAAATATAGCGGTGTTATTATCCGCCACACTATATAATTTCTTCTGTTAACTGCACAATTCAGAGAGAAAAACGATCCTGAAAACAATTTTTGCCGTGTGAACACACGGCACGTGTGAATACTTCTATACACTTGCTTGTCTCACTGTTGCCGTGCACGGCCACGGCGCCGTGCCGTTGCAGTCCCCATGCCGTGCTGCGACGGCAGCCGTGCACGGCTACGGCAGCAAACCGTGCTGTGTGAACGCTTTCATATAACCCAATGTATTACTATTATTATACACGGCACGGTTGCCGTGCACGGCCACGGCAAAAAACCGTCTGTGAGAAAGCAGGGTTCTTCTCCATCCACGGTATTATCCTCATCATTTGTTGTTAAAACTACATTTCGAACGCTTCTAACCTTTTCTTTTCCGCCGCGCCCACCATCCATGTTTCGCACCCGTACAGCGCCGTACTCCAAACATACACCTTTAACAACTTTTTCCGAATTTCTAAATTAACCGCTCGCGAACATAGATGTGACTTCTTTTTATTCAAGGCGACTCGACCCTGCGCTATCCTCTGCTTTATATTCCTACTACTCCTTCTGTCTTGACTTATTTGACCTCCTAAATACTTAAAATCGACCACTTTTTCTAATTTTTCCTCTCCTATCTTTATATTCGCTCTTTCTCTACTTTTACTTCCCTTGCATACCAGTATTTGTGTTTTACTTCTTACCTATCATATGATTTATTTATTAATAAATAAAAGTAATACTAAAATGCAAATTTAGGCGAAGTTTGGGTATAGTACGGGGATATAGACTGAAAAGAAATGCACATTAAACACCATTTTGAAAAATTAATATCACTTTTAGTTTTCAAATAACTAAAGCAATTGATTTGGCAAAAACTTTATAAAATTGATAACTATTTCATTCCTATCTCAAACAGTTTCTATTTTTTTCCATTAAAGTCAAAAGTTGCAATTTACACTCAAGTGTACCATATTAAACCCAGAATAAACTTTAAATTTAGTATTAAGAAAATAAACAATCTGTTTTTTTTAATATTTGATTTTGAATTTCTTTTCAGAGGATATACCAGTGTTTATTAAATCAAAATGTGGAGATTGTACAGATGTTCAAAGAAAAGTGGTGCTTAAAGCTTCCAAGTTCTTAATCGAGAAGAAACCAGACGAATGGAAATTACTATTATCAAAATATGACCCCTCTGGGGAATATGAGGCGTTTTTGTTAGGAGAACTTAAGAAACAAAATTCTTAAGCAATTCAAACTAAATAGATTATGTTATACTAATATGTTATAAGTAGTTTAAATCAAAATTATGCTAATATGACATTAATTCAGAACAAATAAAAATGTAATTAGATGGGCTGTAGAGATTGTGGAGATATTTATAAAAATAGAATTGTATTGTAAAATTGCAAACAATGTATATTAATACAGGCAGGTCAACTAAATGGATATAGAGTTCGTTCATTTTAATTGCCCCGCCAACTGTTAACTGCAGTATAATAAAATACCTTATAATTTTCAGGATAAGGAAGTAAAGAATGGCCCACCATTATGTCCAGTAATTTAGCTCCAACATTATTAAAAAAATAAAATAAGTTATTTTGCCGAATTATGCTAGTGTTATCAGCAAAAAAAAAACAACATAAAACGGACAGACAGATACACGAGTGATCTGTTTTTTTATTCGGATGTACGGAACCTAAACCTAAGAACTAACTTAACATTGTAGTTGAAACAAAACATGTTCTCTCATACATTAAAACTGCAAATTTAGATTTGTACGCACAACATTGTTTTGTTGAATGATTTACTACATTATGATAAGACCATAGGCTTCTTATTAATTTTCCTGTAGGTAATTATAAGTAAAGAACTATTTTCTGAATTTTTTCAAAATTTTAGATTCAATAGTTGCGATGACAAGGGGGGGGGGATGGACAATTGTCATTTATTTTCTTAAATAAATACAAAACTATTCATTTTAAAATTTTTAAGAAATATTTCTGAGACCCTTACAAGAAGCTCTTTCATTTTATATGTCACACGATACAGTTTGCTAAACTTTTTTTTAATGTTGTATTGGCTCCCCAAAAATGACTTCCATGTTTAAAATTAATTTATTAACGTTATACGTCCGTGACAGGGTCACAGAAATTCATATGTTCATAGTTACTTGTACTACCCTTGAAAATGCTTACCGCAATTGTAGGCGAAATATTTTCCAAAGACAACGGTCAGGAAGCCCGAAAACAAAGAATAACAGTATTGAGGAGGCTGGCAGTGAAAGCCTACGTTTATTTATCCCTAACATTTTTGAAACAATATAATACAAATCCTTTTTTTGTTCAATAGTTTACAAAATTTATTTTTTATTGACTACTATGAAAAAACATCAGTTACCATTTAATTTTCTTTTTTTTTTTTTGAAGGAGGATAATTCCAAGAGTAGGAGAAATGGATAGCATTTTAAATATTCTTATTGAATACCTGCTTTTAAAATTTTCAAGCTTAACCGCTGACTAAAGAAAGGGTTTATATGTATATGTATAAATGTGAGGATGTTTCTTTAACAGTATGTAATTTTTAGAAAAGGAAAACGGACTTTCGACGTAATTTCATTTTAGTGTCAAGATTTAGAAATTTCAATTTTTCATATACTCTATAACAAAAAGTTGAGTACCTATCCTAGTGGCTGTTCACAATATACTTAAAAAGAGGAGGCAGGATGCTAAAAATGGTTTCATTTCAATGTTTCTCTTAAATTGTTAGTTTTTTTAATTTGATTCTCATTTTATTGATACTGGTATACCACCGTTAATTGAAAAGAGTTATTTGTAGTAAGGGTTTACCTTTCTGACATAATATTTGTAAGGGGGTTACAGAAAACGTGACGAAGGAAGGCGGAGTGATCTAAAAAGCCGAAATTGTGAGTATCCAACATTTTATTTTTATAGAAAGTTTGTACCTTAACTATCGTACCTATATAACTCATATAAATCTTAAAATAAATCAGAATTTAAAAGTCTAATACGAAATATGTAAATGTATACCAACCTACCTACTAAAATTTGCTAATTGCTGTATTTACTTCTGCAGAAACGATAAAAGTAAAGATCTAAACGTATATGTGAAATATGAAACCTGATATCGACTAGTTTACAAAATATCTACGATAGAAGTAACAGACAATTTTTTGTTAAAACACAAATACTTATAATAATTCATTCAAGAACTCAGTAAGTTATCATATTGTTTGATATTGTATTGTAAAATATTGCTTTAATTTAGCGATCAAAATGCAATTTTTATTTTTACTGGTATTATTGGAGTTCAAGTTCTGCAACCACATTTCTTTTCAGAATTTGCATGCAACATAACGTTAACGCTGGTCAAAAATATATTAGGTGATTGAAAAGAACGAATTCAATTTCTTATGTTATCGAAATACTAATTTTTCTAAATTAATACCTTTTACAAACCACCCTGTATATATCGAGTGCTTGTACGAGTGGGTAAATATGACAGTAACCATAACCCCGCTTCCCTGAACGTAAGTCGACATTTAGTAAAATTATCAGGTAATTGCCTCTAATTCCTGCGATTCCTTCGATTCGCCCCCACCTAAAAACACTTTTTAGTGTTGTGTAATATACATTTACATCCCCTACATCCATCTTCCCTCTTCGTTAAACAGTAAGTCAGTAAGTCCCATACTGCAAACAATCACCAATGTTTCTCTATAAAAACTTCCTACCTTTGTCACGCTGGCAACGCAAGTTAGATAGGAAATCGCATTAAAGAAATGCCAAAATTAAATGCTTTTCAAGTGCTGAGTTAAAAAATTAGGTGCAGGTTGTTGGAGAAGCTGTGATGCATTATGTATATCCCAATAACTCCATAGGTAAATTAATGAGATGGTTATGAGAGTTTCCCGATTTTATTCGAATATGAGAATTACGTATATGCTAATGAAGTGATTGAAGAATATCTTTAGTGCACTAAATAACACTTCATTCTTATATTGAAAAAATATCTGCAAAATCCCACAACTGACTGTCTTATTTATTACCTAGGGTGTCATCAGGTGCTATATATAGGAGCTTAGTGGTAGAGTACTGATACGTAAAACCAGGGGCCCGGTTCGATTCTCGGCTAGGGAGTAACAGCAGTAACAATTTTTCCTCTTTTTATTTAGTTTTCTGTATTTCAATGTGTCATTTCAATATGTCATTTCAATGCGAAACATGGACATGGTTGGCATGGCGGAAAAGAAAAGGTTAGAAGCGTTCGAAATGTGGTGTTACACGTGAGTGATGAGGATACCGTGAATAGAGAAGGTTAGAAATGAAGAGGTATTAGAAGAAATAGGAGAGCAGAGGACCCTATGGAAGTTAATAAGAAATAGGTGAGATAGTATAGTAGGACACCTGCTCAGGCATGAAGGTCTAGTCAGAGACATATTAGAGGCAGAAATAGGAGTTAAGAGGGGTAATGGTAGACCTAGATTAGATTAATATTCGCAAATAGTTAAGGATATGGGTTGTTCTAGTTTTGGGAAAATGCGAAGGTTAGTTCAGGATAGGAAAGAGTGAATGTACGTGTCCAACCGGTCTTAGGACTGACGACTTTATTATGATGATGGGTAAAAATGTGTAGATTTTCAAAATAGGAAAAAGGAAGAAAAAGTTTAAGTTCTATCCAAATACGAAAAGAAATTAATATTATAAAAAAGATTTAAAGTAGAAAAGATAAAAAAAATATGCGGTAAGTTACTTGTATGTCTGTATGTTAGTTCATTAATCACGTTTTATCAGGGGTACGAATTTGAATTAAACTTTGATATTTTCGTATAGACAACGTATGTCTTGGATTAGTGTATACACTTCTTTTCGTTCCTAGAAATATACATTTAACATTTGAGCGAAAAAATTGGTACTTAGATACATCTACATGTGTACCTACATTATACAATTCATTTTATAAAAACAAAACTATTAATTTAAATAAATCGGCAAAATTTTTATGCAAGACGTTACAAAATTGATTGATTTCCTTTTAAATCGACATCTCATTTCTTATTAGGGAAAATTCCTAGTAGTTGGAATAATTGTAACGAAACAGGCCCGGGCGCCCGGGTTCAATTTCGATACTGTGTTTTAATTTCTTATTCTAATTAACTATATACTCGTAGATTTCGCCAGAGCGGTGCCGGGGGCAAAATTAAGTATTTAATTAATCATTGTCTTGTATTTACGTATTACTATACGCTCAGGCAAACAAAAAATTTTTCTAGTAACAATAAATTATAAAATTGTCAGCATTAACAGTAACTACTTTCCATTTATTAGAAATCAAGGAAATTTTTAACTGCGTCATTTCGATTTAATGTTAAAATTTACTTTTTTTACCTTTTTTGCTTACTGATCTGTTACCCACTCTAAAAAATGCTAATTTAACATTTGCTTGTTTCGTATGTGTATTTAGATATTATATTAAATTAATTTTTGCGTTTTAGTCCCGACTTTAAATATGATAACCCCTTTGAATAACAATAGGTATAATAATAACAATGATGATGATAGTGGTAATTTTAAAAATCGATTCCTACTTTCAAAATCTGTTTGCAAAATTAAAATCGCATGATCTAGAGTTCCAGAGATCACTGAGGCTCACTGAAAAAGCAAGGTACAAAAAACATCAAATCGCTACTGCGAAAAAACTATTTCTCCGACAGCGCCGTATAAATTACTCTCATTTCCCAAATTGTAGTGTTACAACTATAATTATAGTACAACAGAGATATTGGTAAATTTAAAAAGAAGACGATGCATTTTCCAATTTTCTCTATTTTTTCCGTTAATATTGATCCAATCGAGTAGATCGAGATCTTAAATTGCAGGTTTTTTATTCCCTACATTTGTTTGTTGATGTCAAAGAGACTGCTCCTTTAGTTTACAGATTATAAGCAAAAGAGTGCATATTTTGACCTTAGCAGTGGTTAAGAGTTGGAAGCATGTTGAAACATTAAATGTGATCCCGATTTTTGTTTCGAAAATAACTCTAGTGATTGGCCTATAACGCAATAGTGACTTTCTTATAAGATCTGATGTATTGTAAAATTAGGATTAATTACGAATTCAATAAACCACTTTAACTTACGCGGGTCATCGCATAGCAGTCCGAGACGGCATATAGCAGGCAGACACATCGCAATAACATGAAACAAATACCGAAGTTACTGTTTTGCATAAAGAAGAGGAGGTAAATAGTAACTTACCGGGGGAATTGCATCCCCCATGCAGACCTTTAATAAAAAGCCCATCTTTCCATATCAGATATATATTTAACAAACCATAATCTTCAGAAATGTACATTCCCACCTGAAACGAGTAGAGGCTCCCCTGGACGCCCGACTAGCGCGCTAGTAGTCAGCATCCCAATGATTTGGTGTGAGAACACCAAGTAATGTCAACGGCGGCGCGTGTAGGGCCCCTCACCTACATGTCTCTGCTCCGGAGGAACCACATCCCCAGAGAGGACGGGATTTGCGCGCCGGGGGCTTGCACCACACAGATGCATAAAGTACCACACAGGTAAAACAACATAATCGCATCACACAGATGCATAAAGTACCACACAGGTAAAA